ACTTACAGCAGGATGTTCCTGCCTGGAGGGTCTTGTTCCTCTGCTCAGGTTCAGACTCATAGCCATATTTGGGGTCAGGAAGGAATTTTACCTTGTGGTCAGATTGGTATGGACTGTGGGGGGTTTTGCCCTCTCTGTTGTGGGGGGGGGGGCATTGCCCTCTAACTGGTATTTCCAGCATATATTAACAACTTTTTATAGAAGTAGGATATTGACTGCTGTGGTTCCTGTTTTACCTGCGGTAGGTTAGAGTGTATTGTGTTGACTCCGGGTTGACATAGTCTTACAAAGAGTTTAGATCTGGATTTGTATAGGATGGTTTGGATAGGAATGATTCTGCCTTGGTAGGAGGTTGGACTAGATGACCTCTGGAGATCCCTTCAAGCCTTATTTCTCTGTGATTTCTTTCTGTGAAATGCTGTCTTGAATTATGGACTTGCCTTTTAGAAAAACATTTGTCAACACTATTGAGAACATATACAAGCAGGAAAATGCAGTGATAAACCAAAACAGCTGGTTCCAAAAATACACTTTAGGCAACATATGTAGGATATATGAGTAAATCTTTGTTGTAAAGAGAAGTCAGTAGAGACTGTTATGTTTTAGGCTGCTGAAAAATTTGCACAACAAAAGATTTTGTAACCTTTTCTCTGACCAGTTTTCACAGTTCCATTGTATGACATAGACCTTTGACCCTGGACAGAGGTAATTCCCTGGGCTGCACAAGTTACTTTTTCTTTCCATGTGAAATTCTGTTCAGGTTTGGCTGAGAGAATAAATGCTAAATACAGCATTTTTTTCTTCTCTCACTCAAAAAAAAATCAGTGATTTTTCCCCCCCCCACCCCCCCACACACACACAACTGAACATCCTGACCTGGCTCATGGCACTCTACAGAGAAGCAGCAGCAGTGTATGTTGCCCCAGGCAGTGGCATCTTCTAGCTGGCACCATGCATGCCTGTTTGATGTTGCAGAGATAGATGTTGGTTTTTCTGCACCTCCCCTCCCCACGCCCCTCCCAGAGTCAGCACCCACGGCTATCACCCTAGTTGCCCAGCCCTAGTTATACAAATTGGGTGGTGCAAATTTGTGATGAAGGTTCTGGAGTCCTACCATGCTGGTGATGTGTAATGAAGACTTGTTATAGTTGTACCTAAATTAGTTTGGTTTTCTTTTAAAAACAGTGGTAGTATTTTAAGGGACATTTTGTGTATGTGTAATATCCATGTAATATGATAATTTTAATAATGGAACGAACATTAAAGGAGAAGGAAATGCCAAAAATGAAGATTGTAATGTAAGCCTAAATAGGAACTATACTGAAAAAGAACCTGTATTTTGAATGGCCTAGATTAAAACCAAACAGTAATATATTGTTTATATTTAACAAGGAAAGAGGGAATAGAAAGTTCTACCTAATTACAGCTAAATTAATAATGAAATAGAAATCTTAACTCTCACTAATTTCCAGTCTTGATGTCTCAGTCTTAATGTTGTATTAATGCTTTTTTAAATTTAATTACTTTGTATTTATTATTTATTTGTATCCATTTGCAGGAAAAATCAGAGAAGCATTGTAATGAGATTTCTGTACTGCTAATGTGCTTTAGATTCTCCTCAGTGTAGCTGATTGCCTGTAGAGCCACCTCAGCATTGTTAAATCACTTCCAACAGTTTACTCCTAAGACTAGCATCATTAAAGCTCTCTTGGCTTGGAAAGTGCACTGGAAGAAAAATGAATGAAAAAGTCATGTTCCTGTATAAAAAAACAACTTAAAACATGCATAACTTTAAAAATACAAAACAGCTTTTCCTAAGATGTGAATTCTTTATCCTTTCCCTTTGGGGCTATAAAGGTATATATAAACGCTTGTGATCACATAGTTAGACTGCACTATAGATGCTGATTCAGCATAGCATTTTAAAAGCTATTGAAACCAACAGGATTTAAGTATATGCTTAAGTGTTTTGATGAAAAGTGATGGATTTACACACCTACTTTAAAAATTAAGCATATACTTGAGTGCTTTGTGGAATCAAGGCCGTAATGCGTGCCACAGAGGAAAATTAGTTGTAGAAGTCCGACCTTTTGAGTTATTGACTTTATAGAGTAAATGCTATTTTAATATGGTGTTTGATGTGAAAATGTGAAATGTTCATGTTTTTGTGTATGCACTACAAAGATGACTCGGGTATGAGAAACTCCATAGATTACCTTCTATGCACATGCCAAAGGGAGGGGGCTATAGTTAAGTACCTTAATGCTTATTTCTACTGCAAATAAAGTCTGCTTTGTCTTTCAGTCACTGGGCACATATAACTCTTAAAAGTCAACCAGAATTGTGAGTGCTGAGCATTTTAGGAAAACAAGTCACTTTTAGGAACTGAAATCTGTATTTAAGTGCCTCACTTTAGGCCATTATATCCTGTTTTTAGATATGCTCCATGATGATACCCTGTAATACCAGATTTGTTGATTTGATATACTGGATTACTAAACCAACATATGGCATTCTCTGGGTCATCCTTTTTGAAATACAAATATATGTCAAAAACTTTTCTCCATTAGAGAAATGTTGGTCCCACTGGCACACTCATCACACACCTGATGTGTGTACACGTGCACGCACACACGTACGTACGTACGTACATATGTTCCATACATTTAGCACAGTCCACAAAATATTTGAATTAGATGTTCTTTCAGTGTATCAAAGAGCCATTGCTATCTCAACCATTTCAGCTTAAACTTCTCTCTTACTACTGTGGATGCAAGCTGAAATTTGTTCTTGCGGGGCTCATCTATAGTGCACCCTTGGCCTATATAAAGCTTTCAGAATGCACTTCTCAGGGGGCAGGGCCAGAAACTGTGGAGTAGTTGCCCTCAGAGCGTTGCAACCAAAACATCAATTCTGCTGGTTCTTAAACAGAATCTGGGTAACTAACACCAACTCAGTGAATCTTCTTTGCTTAAACTGGTTCATCTGGTCTATCATTTTATTTACAAAGTGATTTTTACATGAAGTGTAGAGTATAGTTGAGTAGCCTTGCACCTTTAAGAAAGAAAGAAAGAAACCAGTGTTTGAAATGGCTTAGTGATTAGCTGAGTCTTAGAAGGACTGAGCATGTGCCGCTGCTGCCTTATTTGTCTGTGTTGGGTAACTAATTACTAACCTGCTGCCATTGCCTCCCCTTGCTCAGAGTTGGAGCACTGTCGGTGTACTTCAACTTTTAGATGTTTGTGGCTAGTCCATACTGTTCATATGGTCTGTTAAAGAGCTATCCTACTTTGAGCAGAACCAGCAGTGTACTATTCAGGGTTAACCAAAATAATTATTTGTAACGTTGGATATCTACTTTTGTATGTATAGATATAATGGTTAGGAAATATAATCTGCATCTTACTGCCTTTTTAAAATATGGTACTGAAAAATCATCTCAGCATTTCATGCACACAATAATTTTAATATTGTTCATCTAGTCTAAAAGCTTCTGTTTTGAGTCTCTGTTTTCTTTAAATACTCAGAGCTGCAGAATAAATTGTTAGTGCTGAGGCTTGTAAGGTGAGGGGTCGTGACGGGGGGGTGTGCGTCAAGAGAGGAGTGTTATCCAAATCCTAACAAGTCAATAGAATAGTTCACGGCAGTTAACTAATATGCTGTACTGCTGAACTTATTTTAAAACTATATCGAGAAGTCTAAAAATGGACACAGTGCTTACAAATGAAAGTGCAAGATAGAACTTCCATTAGCATATCTCTCCCCCTACCCCCACCCCCCAAAAAACCCCACCCCAGTCTGATTGGTTTCAGAAACCACGTCTTCTGAGCTTGCTGTAGGTCCTGAAACTAAAAGGCAGCGGCAACAAGACTCTGGTGCTACAGCCAACTGCAGCGTAGCCAGAGAAACAGGCAACAAAAATAGAACACAGGATTGCTGTGCGTGGGTGAGGCAGAAACCACATTATGAGCAAAACCTTCCAGTATTATTTTAGAACCAATACAGAGCCCTCCTCATTTGCACTCCTTTCACAAAATACTCATCCCAGGCTAGGTGGGGGCAAGGGGGGTACCTGATAAAAAGATGGATAGAAATCAAACATCAAGAAATGTTTCTCTCTCTCGAATCGTGGTTGTTTTCCCTTTCTTATTTCTTTGCTCAAAGCGGCATGCGCGCAGACACAGACATGTGTCTGCAGAGAGGCTTGGCAGTGGGAAAGGGTTAATTACTTTTGTGGATTGGCAGTAGAGAATTGCAGTTCGAAAGACAGGGACTGGACAGCTGTGTTTGCTGTGGTATTTTTAAATGCATTAATACAGGCTCCAATCACTCGGCCATGCTTGACCTATTTTTGGCTCAGGCCAGCCATTGTTCTATTTCTGTTGCCTGTGGGCCACACTGTTGTTGATTCATATGCAAATGAGTTATCACTCGCTTCAGCCAACTTTGCAGAGAGACAGAGCAAGAGAGGGAGAGAGAAAGAAGGGCATAGGGACAGAAACACTTGTCAAGACTGACGGTAATTGAAACTAAACCCGTAGGGGCTGAAGTCCCTGGAAACTGCTTATTTGGTATTATTATTATTATTTTTTTTTTTAGTGGCTTTATTTCCCCCTTGCAAAAAAGCCTGAAGCACAAATATATTTCTTCTTCCACCTGCTGCTGGCTTCCAGAACACAACTGTTCAAACTCAGAGGTTCATAGTCCACTGTGTATTTCCTATTCCTTTGCAGCAGACCAGGCTGTGTAAAAGTGGATTGTCATTTTTTGGTTCTTTTCTTTTTCCCCTTTTTAAAATAGATTTTTATACAAATGCTTACAAAATTGCTGATTTCGAAAGTGTATTCTCTCTCCCACTCTCTGTGGAGGAGGTAGGACCACAGAGGGTCGTTCCTGACGCCCCTATACGGTGCAGTGATGAATCTTTCATGTAGCTGAAGTACAGACTGATTGGAATATGCTGCAGACAATTTACGAGAGTGAATCGTGTTTTTCCTCAGATGGGGTTTCTGGACGTGAACAGCTCTTGGCTCAGCAAAGAATGCACAGTATGATCAGCTCAGGTAAGAAGCAGTTCAGTAACTGAGACTTTTCTGTTTGGAGGGTGACATACATAGGAAATACAAACTGTCACAGTAAAGAATCTTGCCCTTAAATCATTACTTTAGTCCATGTTTTTTTAAATGTAAGTTCTTTCTAAATAATGACTCCCGCACCAAATTATTTTGGATGTTTGCCCCTGCTGCTGGCTTTTTTTCTTTTTTTTTTTTTTTTTAACCCTTAAGCCTGCTGCTTCCAGAAGGAAGAAAACTAGCAAATAAAATACAATAAGGGATATTTTTTTCTTGTGCTCTATGATTGCAAAATGGGGTTTATAGTGATTGCAGGCTTGTTCCAAATGAGACTTCATTAAACAAGACCCTGTTCAGTGAGCTACAGTTCAGAACCCATCAGAGGCTGTTTTGACCCTATGTAATTTCGTGAACAAGAATAGGTCTATTTGCAGGTTTCTTCCTCTCAAGTTTACATGTCGAGAGCTTTCTATAAAGCTTCTGTCCTGATTTCATAATGATGTCAATTTTGACTATTCTAAAGTAAATTCTGTGTCTGTCTTATGTTTGGCTCCTTTTCTTACTTCAGGAATATATGAGAAACTTGGTAATGCCAGTCAGATCTAATGGCTCACTGAAAATGTAAGTTGGATGCATTTTAAGGGAGATGTTTTAAAAGCTGCACTTACAGCATAATGGATATCACTGCAGTTTGAAGTCTTCCTTCCATTTTCTAGTTTCTGTGATATCTGTATTTGAGATCTGTGAATGATGCACTGAGACTGAATGAAGCTGAGAGAGCTTTAACAGTTTAAGTTAATAAAAGTCAAATTTTCATTTTCTCTGATTAGCATTGTGTAGTTCCAGCTCTGCTTTTATTGCATTTATCTTGGTTTTTGGGAGGACATAATGATATCTCATTTACATATATTACAGCCTCTAAGTCCTAATTTTCTGCATTAAATTTGGGTTTTCCTAGGTACTACATGCAAAGATGCTATGAATTGCTCAAGTAGACTCCAATCCAAGTTAAATCACCAAATTGTTCATAAAACTTGGCACTGACTTCCAAAGTTGATTATATCTCAATGAACCATTTTACTGATTGACTATATACTTGTTCTCATGCTCTTTTACTTGGTCCACCTGTTGATCCTTTAATGATTAAAAAAAAAAAAAGATGCTTGAGATGTGACACCTGCTCCCTGTCATGTTTGTACAAAGAGAAATCTTGAGTTGTATTTATATTTGTTTCTTAGGTAGAAACTGTAGAGCAGTTGTTATGAAAGATTGTCACATAGGAATGAATGCTTGTCTATTTGAGCAGGACCGATTTACATCATAACTATAAAATACATTTTCGAATACAGTAAATCAAGGCTGCCTCATAATAATTATAGACTGGGAAAAGGGATGAAGACTGAAAACTTGCTGTAAGCAGTCTCAAATCATGAGGTCACCTAATGGGTTACCCAATACCACTTATCAGCATTGTTTAACATTTTTCCATTTCTTTCATTAAGTTACTTCAGTTTGTTAGCTGACTTGCTTGCCTGTTCATTTTTCCTAATATGACTTAGTTTTGGGTTTCCTCTTTAAGAGTTTTACAACCCTGATTCCCGTTTTTTTCCCCCTTCTGGAAATAGGTTTTGAACTACTAATTCCAGTATCCTTGTTTAAAAGGAAATCTGGTGATAAACTCATTCATATAAATATAACAGGCTAAGCTCTGGATAATGACATGATCCTAAGATCGTGGGTGGATACTGAAGGTTCTCTGCAAGCTTTCTCACAGCTTTGACAAGCTACCAATTGTTACTGGCTTCCTCATTTTTCGGTACAAATTAGCAGGTATATCAAGGTTTTGGACAAGACACGTACTACCTAAAGGTCAGACTAAGGCAATTTTTTTCAAATTTCCTCTTAAAAATAAACTAGTAAGTCTAAAGGTAAACAGGCTGGTTTATTAGCCCATTGTGCCACCTTGAACCACGAACCAGGGCTGTTTGGATAATTTCTCATTTGGAAAACAAGAAAAACATGTAATTTTCTATAATAGAGCTCTGCTTTCCTTCCTTGGAGACAAAAAATATCCCATGACATTTGATTTGTATCTAACATTGTGTAAGACCCATGTAGTACAGACTTCATGTGAAGCTGTAGACAGTGTTTTAATACCTTTTTCCTTAATTAATAAACAAGACCATTTTCCAAGCAGTTTTTTTTATTACTTTAAAATAAAAACAATTCTTCATTATTCATACTGTCCTTTTAGAATATTCAAATAAGCAACATCTCATTGACATTTTATTTAGTCTACAATTTAATTAATCTCATAGGAAACTAAAGGGTCTATGTCTGTTGAGCAAACTCTGTTCTTTGAACTTCAGGGCCTTGTGTGATCAGGTTCTGTAATGTCATATGTAGCATTTTCTGCATGTAGGCTGAAGTGTTGTAAATGTATGGAGAATGTCACAATGATAGACAATATGGTGGTTCTGTATTAGGAAGTTCCCCACTCCCAAGTCTGTGATACCAATTTAACACCCTATGTAAGGACTAATAGTGACAAGTGGAATAGTGTTGTTACCAGGTTGTGATTTAAAATGTAAACAAATCCTTTCATATCTGATGCTTGTAAAACGCATCTCTCTAAACAGAATCAGGTCTACTATGTAGAGAAGAAAAGGAACTGCCACTTGCAGGCTGTTAGGGTAGCTAAATGTCAGTTTTATGAATCACAGTGCTCTTTGTGCATGTCAGAATAGCTAAATGTTCTGTTTTCTTATTTATGTATGTGTTGCATCTATTCCTGTTAATAAGCTACACATTTATCAAGAGAAGAATAGAGAACTAAAAATTTACACCATGCCTCCTTAATACTGCACAAACCATGGAATTAGCCTAACTTTAGCACTCACTCAATGAATTTATAAACTTGCAGATCTCCAGATATACTGTCCATGCATTCTTCTGTTCTAATTTTAAATTGGATGGAGTCAGCTCCAAAGGAGATGGATTCATTTGATAGGTATCTGCCGAGCAAACTGTCTGAGGAATTTCTGAGAATACCAAGCGTACAAAATACTCCTGTCATATGAAGCAGCTCTTCTGGTATTCCCTTAATTACTGCTTTTCCTGCCCTCTTCCATCTCAGTTTATAAATCACATTATGAATGAGATGATCTGGAGAAAGTACTGATCAAAAGTCTAATTACAAAAGGGACAATCCAGATAGGCACCAAATCAAGAAGCTATATAATTACAAACACCTACACATTACTACAGACAAAATTACTATTGGCTGTGTTAAAGAAGACTTACAGTCACTTAGAGTAGTGAGTGCTGTGAAATGCATAAGGATGTACTGTGTAAGTTATTCAAACAAGGCAATGCACATAAAAATAATTATGGTACCCAATAAATATTTATTTTTAGGGAAAATTAAGCAAATGTTTTATTTTAAAAAATACTTTTAGTTTTTGTTCAGCTACTCTCTGAAGTAACAGCTAGCTATTTCAGGGATCACGGCTTTTTTTTAGCAAATGAAAGCTGGTTCATAGTGCCTTGGCACTAAAAGGATCCCATTTAACTGATGAGGGTCCTCATTGTGTGGTATTTCTTTGGTTTTACCCAGAGAGTTGCTTACTGTGTATTTGTACAGTGCTCAGCACAACAGTCTTGAGTTCTGAGTTGTCTCTGGGCACAACCTTCAATAACCCTTTGTTAGTCAAAAAGCCTGAGGCTGAATCAATTCAATCTTCACAGGTTAGTCTAAGTTGCATAGATTGAACCAATAAGCAAATGAACAGACATTCACTTTTGATTTTGGAAATGCGTCCACATGTCTGCCGTGGCCCAGGCTTCCTGCTTTGCTGGAGCAGACAGGTTGGTCCAAGACTAGCCTGCCCACCCTGCAAGGCCTAACCTTGGAGTGAAAGCACATTGAATTAAACTGGTCTCTGGTGAAATGTAATAGAATGTACCAAATAATTCACATAGAATTATGTTAACTGAATTAAATAAAATTTAATGAAACTGGAGGTGAAAGTGTCGTGTGGAGGTATCAGTTTGCCATGTATTTGGTAATTAGGATACCTGACTGTAAGATATTAAATAAATAAATGAAGTTTTGTTGTTTGGATGTAAAAATTAGCATAAATCACATTTATTGCATCACTTCAGTGATCTGATGAATATATATTTGCACAGGTGACTGTCAGTGACCACTAATACAAATAGTGTCACTTGAATCTTTGAAATTCACTTTCCTTATACTTTCCTATCCAAGAAAAAATAATTGCACAACTCTTGCTTACTAGCCAAAAAGGAAAAAAAAAGTTTTATAATGATGTTTGAAGCAAATTTATCTAAGTATACTTGAATCATAGAAAATTAGGGCTGGAAGGGACCTCCAGAGTTTATCTAGTCCAACCCTCAGTTCAAGCTAGGATCATTATGTGTTTTAAACCATCCTAGACAATTGTTTATTTCTATCAATGAAACTCTGCAAATAGTCTTCTCAAACTACTACTAAGCAAAATGTCCAAAACATTAACCCCCTCCCCACCAACCCCCCACCAAAAAATAAACCAACAACACCCTAACTTGCCAGGGGTAAAGCAAGGGGGCAGGACAGGAAGTAGAATTGATGATTAAGAGTCATAGAAAAGTTGAATTATGGTGTTCTATAAACCGTTGCACAAGTGATCTCATGACACAATTAAACCACCTAAGAGGAAACATTTGATTTTTCCCTGAGCTTCTACTTTGTAACTTGAAAACCTGAAGAACTGAGCGTAGAGCATATTTAGAGAGAGAGAACGCTTTGCTATTGTACATGTGAAGCCAGCAAAATCTTGTAGATGGCCAGAAACTGATTATTTTGCTGGACTTGTGGACTGTATCTGGCCTGCAGAGCTGCTCGAACCAGCCTGCTGGTGTTACTGGTGAGTCTGGGATTTGAGGGTAGGTTAGTGGGGGTGGGGCCTGCCACAGAATCCATAGTCTGG